TTCAAACCATTCATTAGCATGAAACGCGGAAATGGGTTGCTCAGATGTGGCAATTAAATATTTATCATCCCCATCTCCAGTCACCTATTAAATATTTATAATTATAATTATATATAATGTCAATTCTTATTTATATATGTATTTATGTATTTATATATTTATTAATGTAAATAAATGTGTTACCTTATATAGCTCTTCGTCAAATTGTTCCAATTGTGCTGTCTTGGCCATATACTCTCTTCTCATAAAAAATGGTGTTTGTAATTTTTTATACCCGTGTTTCCGCAGAAATGAAAGACCATATTGAATTAGTGCCATATTTAGATCCACTCCATCATTGGTGAGAAAGTAACCGCGGTGACCAGCAATATTTGTTCCTTCACGAAAGGAATACAAAAAAGAAATGCCACTCAACATATACTCAAAGTTATCTCAAATTTATCCAAAGTTATAAAATATAAATACCCCTTTCAGAATCATAACCATCAATTCTGTATAGTACTTCATGATGTGACAAAATTCCATTTTTCTTAACCGATTTTATATCAAGTCCATTTTCATTTGTCGGAGGATCCCACTTTCGAATTATTTCATTATTTTCCTCATCTAAAGAAACTGGTACAGATTTATGAACAATATTTCCAATCGTAGAAGCTTTAGATTTGAGAATTTCTTCTTTTTCCTTTTCAAGGGTAGTGAGTCGTTCTTTCTCGGAATTAAGTGATTCTTTTTCTTTTATTAATTCTGAAGCATCTGCTTTATCCTTCATTTAGATTTGAAAAAAAAACTATAAATACGCGTCTTTTAAAAATAATTAAATCGAATATATCCATTTTCATATGATTGTTCTTCTACTTAATTTTCCTTATGAGACTTTTCTTTCTTACCTTTATTTTCTGTGCAATTTGTTTTTGAAGCGCGTTCTGTTGCTTTTTGACTTGATCCAAATCATAACGTACTTATTATTTTATAAAATATGACCATTAAATAATGCAACGGCGTGAGTAATTTTTTTTTTTATTTGATCTCTTAAATTTTTAACAGTTTAAAAATATAAAGTTGTTCAATTTTAAAATACCTGTTCGCCATTCGTCATACAAACTAATAACCTGGTCAACTAATTCAACAGAAGCTCCTCTTTTACGTTGAGATTCCTTGATTAGTTCAGGATTACCACCTTTATCAACTTGAAATAAATTAAGGTCAAGCATTTTGTTTTAACTTAATTTTCGGTTTTTTTTTTTTTTTTTTCGAGTTTAAATTTTTTTTTTTTTTGTAACATAATATGCTATGACTCATTTTGTATCAAATTGTATCCAATTTGATAATCGTGTGTCGTGTGTAGTCAAAATAAGAAATGAATTAAATCTTAATTATATACTTTATTAATAAAAAAAAAAAAATCGCAAAAATTGCCTGTAAACTAATAAATTTTTAAATTGATTATTTTTTTTTAAAGCTTGGTTTTTAATTATACTATATATTATACGTATGATGCGTAGTAAACTTTTGTATATTGTAGAGCCACAATAGCACAGCCGCAGCATAAAATAACCAATCGATGACAAGCTATAACTAGATCCTATCTTGGAGTATAAGCGTTAGGAAGTTTGAGGAATAAAATTGTCGTTCATACAACACAATATGATCCGTGGCTGCGCCATCGATCCGCGGACTCTATACTGTATTAGGCTTTTTTATTTTCATAAAATTAAGAAAAGTTATATTTATAACACCGTGTTATATAACACCCTTATGCTATATCTCAGAAATGTACTAAGTAAATGGGTGTAGGTACTAGAGTTGCTGGTGAAACTGGTGAAACTTGGTGAAACTTGGTGAAACTGGTGACTATCTAAAATCTGATTGGC